TGCATAGAGGAACGTGATTGCACTGGAGAGGGTGCAGAGGACATGTGCCTGAGCTGGAAAGTTCGAGGAGAAATTGGGGTTGTTCTCCTCAGAGCAGAGAAATTGAGAAGGGTCATGATTGAGATGTATAAAATTTATGAAGGGTGTAGGAACTTTTCTCCTCAATAGAAGAATCAATGACTGGGGACATAAATGGAAGGGCAAAGACAGAAGATTTAGAGGAGATGTGAGGAAATCCTTTTACACCAAGAGGTTGGTTGTAATCTGGAACTCACTGCCTGTAAGGATGGTTGTGGTAGAAACCCTCATAACACCTGAGAAATGTTTAGACGTGTATTTACAATTCCAAGGCATACAAGGGTATGGGCCAAGTGCTGGAAAATGGGATTGGAATAGGTAGGTGGTCATTTTTGATCAACATGGGTGTGATGGCAAAAGGGTCTTTTTCTGTGCTGTCGATCTCTATGACTTGTACTTGATGTAAAACTTAATGTGGTTTTTGGGAATGCAGTTAGTTTTATTATGGCATTCTTTATGGCAAGTCTGTGTTGTCAGGTGAAAGGAGAAGAAGATGCAACATGCAAAGAAACCTGCTCACAGGAGTACTTACCGTCCAAACACAGTTTATAGGCTAATGGACAACAAGCTTGCATTTAAATAAAAAACGAAAGAACTGCAGATGCTGTAAACCAGGAAACAAAACAGAAGTTGCTGGAAAAGCTCAGCAGGCCTGGCAGCATCTGTGAAGGAAAAAACAGAGTTAACGTTTTGGATCTGGTGACCCTTCCTCAGAACTCAGAAGCTTGCATTTATCTGTGGGATGGTGATGTGGAGGCTTTGCTTCTCTGAAGAGCAAATTCCATTTGGAATTATTACTTTACAGAAGAAGATCTGCAACAACTGACAGTCATAGCAAATATTGCCTGTTGCAGCTGTGAATTATTTTCAGTTCAGTCTATTCTACTGTATTAACAGCATTAGTTCTTTTGCAGTTCATTCAGCATGGAGCTTGCAATTGCGCTAGAGCATTCTGTTCTTCTTGGATCTTTGGATACAGAATAGGGTTCTCTGACATGCATAGAAATCAAATGCAGCCTTTTCTGAACCCATGTTAGCTGTGGCTTCAGCAAAACTGTCTTCATACACAGCAAATGCTTCCACTTCACACACCTGGAAACTGATTGCTACTAGTAATGTATTGCTAAAAGCTTCCAGAGTGCTTTTACAGTAATAAAGTCATACAATAAAGAGGAGGCCCTTCAGCCCATCAGGTCTGCACCAACCTATCTACATAATCCCCCTTTCTAGGACTTTGCCCATAGCCTTGTATGTTATGACATTTCAAGTACTCATCCAAGTACTTGATAAAGATTGTGAGGTTTCCTGCCTCTACCACCCTCCCAGGCAGTGCATTCCAGACTTCCTCCATCCTCTGGGTGAAAACACTTTTTCTCAAATCCCCTCCACGCCTTTTGACTTTCACCTTAAAATTATGTCCCCCTTGTTAATGACCCTTAAACTAAGGGGAACAGCTGCTTCTTTCTCCCCTTTCCATGCCCTTCATAATCCTATATGCTCAAATCAAGTTCCCCTTCAGTCTTATCTGCTCTAAAGAAAACAATCCAAGCCTATTCAGCCTGTCTTCATAGCTAAATGCTTCAACCCAGGCAATATCCTGGTGAATCTCCTGTGCACTCCCTCTAGTGCAGTCACATCTTTTATATAATGTGGTGAATAGAACTGCACACAGTACTCCAGTTGTGGCCTAACTAAAATTTTGTACAGCTCTAACATGACCCTCTATACCATGACTGATAAAGGCAAGTGTCCCGTATGCTGCCTTAACTGTCAGGGATCTGTGGACAAGCACCCCAGGAACTTTTTGTTTCTCTGAGCTTCGTAAATGTTCAACCTTTCACTGTGTCCTCTCTCCGTCATCTTTTAGCTTCTTCCAAAGTGCATCATCTCTCACTTATCAGGGTTAAATTCCATCTGCCATTGATCTGTCCATCTGACCAACATCTTTGTATCTTCCTGTAACCTGAGACCTTCTTACTCACCATTAACCATCTGGCCAATCATTGTGTCATCTGCAAACTTATTAGCCCCCCCCCTCACATCCTCATCTATTTCATGCATATGTACCACAAACAATAAGGGACCCAGCACTGATCACTGTGATACACCACTGGACACCAGCCTGCACTCACGTAAGCAGCCTCCTACCATTAAGCCAGTTTTTGATCCATCTTGCTCAGTTACCCTAGATTTGATGTGCTTTTATCTTCTGAGAAAGAGTCATTGGATCTGAAACGTTAAGTCTGACTTCTCTCCACAGATGCTGCCAAACCTGCTGAGCTATTCCAGCAATTTCTATTTTTGTCTCTGCTTTTACTTTATCAGTTTCCTGTATGGACTTGTCAAAGGCTTTGTTGAAAATACATAAACCTGCACTACCCTAATCTACACACCTTCACCAAAAAATGATTCAAATTGATTAGACATGACCTCTCTCTGACAAAACCATGCTGAATGCCCTGATCAAACCTTACCTCTCCAAGTGGAGATTAATTCTCCTCTTATGGATTTTCTCTAGTAGGCTCCCTATCACTGATGTGGGACTCACTGGTCTGTAATTCCCTGGTTTATACCTACCACCCTTTAAAAGTGCAACCACGTTACCTGTTCTCTTACCAGTGACCTCCCCTGTGGCCAGAGAGGAATTAAAAATTTGAATCAGAGCCCTTGTAATTTCCTCCTGATCTTCCACAGCAGGCTGGGATGCAGCTCATCCAGACATGTAAATGTGTCCACTTTTAAGCCTGCTAAAACCTTCAATGCCTCCTCACTTCCTATGTCGATCTGTTCAAGAATCTCACATTCTTTCTCCCTGAATTCTGTACCACCATCCTCCTTGTCCCAAGTTTTATATTTTGGTAATCCTTCATCTCTCTACTCATTTCCTAGCATAGTAAGGTAAAGCTGCCTCTTACATGCTAGGCTGCCAATTCTTCTTCAACCATCAGCAACCTGCTTATTGATATCTTTAGGCAGTTGTTCTGCATGTGAGTATTTGGTGGCTTCCTGCAATATTGCTTCAAAATAATGCCCATGTGGAGTTGGTTTTTTTGTATCTTGCATCATTCTTGTTCCAAATATGGTGGAGATGATAGTGTAATGTTAACGTCGCTGAATTAGTAATCCAGAGGCCCAAGTTAATGCTCTGGGACATAGATTCAAATCCCAATATGGCAACTAATGTAAGTGAAAATCAATTAATAAATCTCAAATATAAAACTAGTAATAATACTCAGGAAAACTATTGTTCATTTTGCAAACTCATTCAGTTCACTAATGCCCTTTAGGGACAGAAATTTGCCATTCTTACCTGGTCTGGCATTCATGTCACCTATTGTAGTGGATTGAATTTTAACTGTCTTCTGAAATGTCCTAGCAAGCCACTTAGGTTGAAGGGAAATTATGGAAAAGTAATGAATGCTCGCCCGTGAAAGAATGAAAAATAAAAGAGGACTCTGGAAAAGGATTTTCAGTATGATAAAGAAGTGAATACTTATGTCATAGAATGTTGAGAAAAACAGTGTGGTCCAACAGAAATTTTTGGCAGCAACCCATTAAAGAATATTTGAGATGAACAATCCCTGTTGTATGTGTTAGTGGTCAATCCATTGTGTACCTCCAAGTCCTTCATTCTCAAGTGGGCTAAATAACAAAAAGAACAACTATGGTATTCATGTTAAGTAATATTACAGTGTTTTCTACTACTGCAGGAATGCACCCCTATGTATAAAGATTTTAAAAAGGATTGCAGAAATGTCTACACCCAAATTTTTCATCCTTTTTAAGGTCCAGGTGCTTGTCTTGTCTATATTTGTATTTCTGCAGGTGTTTCCTCAGTGGCTCCAAAGTGGAAGACTCCTTCAGGGCTAATTACAAGCTCTGCTTTAACAGCCATTAAAAGCGCTATCTTGTCAGCAACAGTTTACTAGTACAGACTGGCCTAGTTGGCTTTCTGTCATCAGGATCTCCCTGGGATCCTCGCACATAGTGTACTGTTGGATGTCCAATTCCAATTGCATAACTATCTTTAATATCAGATTATGGTTCAGCAGTCCAACTGATCTTTGGGAGGACAAACTGTAGAACATTCATGATTTGACTGAACCACCTCGTTATTGAGTCTCCTTGTCTTTAGGAGATGGTTGAGAAGGTAGTATTATTACTGATGCCACATACACCTGAAGGGAAGGCCCAGCAGCAGTGTCTGTTACAATGACTATTTGCTTCATGATGATTGTAAAATGTTCATGCTATGAATTAACATTGCACATTCATTGGCTCCATATTGTGTACGTCCAGATAGCTCAATGTATTCAGTAAAATCTGGTGCGCAGAAATTATCTAAAATCTATATCCCTGCACTCTCCAGCAAACCATAGGCTCCTCCCTGGGCTGTTCTTTTCATTAACATCTGTTGTTGTTTGTTTATACTTCATGAATCATTCAGTGCAAAGCCTGTCGTTCACTATCAAAATGATATTGGGAAAAATTTCTCCTCTGTATATGAGATACGTGACAATGTATCTTTGGGGAGCCCTCCTCCTTGGATCCTTCATTATGAATGTTTGGGCTTCCTGGTGAAGTCGTGCTTCTTGCGCCTCTGAAATATTGCTCTTTTTATTGTTGATAAATATACTTCTTCTACAGTGTTGTTGGCTGGCTTTAAGTAGTAGTTGTCCCTTGAGCTGTTGCATCGTCCCAATCGCTGAGCTGTCTAAAGAGTGCCTGTTCAACTGTGGCATCTCACAAATCCAAGTTAAAGAATATCTGGCCTCAAATAGTACAGGACACACGCTGAGTCTTTCAGATGTGATGAAGCTCCACCCATTGCCTCCCTCACTTATGCTATGTGTGAAAATCACTGACAGCTCAATTATTTATGTATGTAATTTCATGTCTAACTTACTATATATTTTTTATAGTGATTCTCAAGGTAGTTGCCACTTTGTTGAAAAATTCTACACCAAGCAATGAGCTGATGGAAGTTAGACGTCTGTTTTTATCAGATATGATAAAATTATTCAGCAACAGTCGGGAAAACAGAAGGTATGTTGACACAGGGATTGATTTATGCTTGCCTTTATATTTCTACGTATATTGTTCGTGTTTTAATCCCTAACATGCCTGCTTAGCAGATCCATTTTGTTTAGCCTGTCCAATGATACCTTTGTGCGCGTATGTTCTTTGAAGTGCCTCATGTTGGCATGAATTTTGTATTTATTCTGTGTTTCTTTCCTTATTTACGGTTCTTCATATTTATTGAATTACATTTTTTAATTTCTCTCTCTTATGTTTATGATTTCTTTCCTTGCTTGATTCCGCAGTCGTCTTTTTTCACTTAGAACCATTAGGTCATGTTAAGTTTAAAAGCTGTTGTGTTAAATGTATCATACCTTAGATTTGTTTCTATGCATATCTAGTACATGAAAAGAATTAAACTTTGAAAATTAACTCCTAAAATTAATAAGATCTGAGAAACGTAGATTCCGGTGAGCATGGGACATTTCGGTTATGACATTTCATTTTAAGTTAAAACATGAAGTAATTCTTCCATGGTGTCATTGCTCAGTCCTTTGAGTAAATGGAGCCAGGAAGTCATGTTTGAGGTTGTACAGGATATTGGTAAGGCCTCTTCTGCAATACTGTGTCCAGTTCTGGTTGCTTATTTATAAGAAAGATGTTATTAAGCTAGAGAGGGTTCAGAAGAGATTTACCAGGATCTTGCTGGAAATGGAAGGTTTGAGTTATAAAGAAAGGCTAGATAGGCTGGGACTTTTTTTCAGTGGAGGTTGAGAAGCAGCCTGATAGAAGTTTATAAAATGATGAGAGGAATAGATAGAGTTAACAGTAGATATCTTTTCCCTAGGATGGGAGATTTCAAGACAAGGGGACACATTTTTAAGGTGAGAGGAGATAGATTTTTAAAAAAAGACATGAGAGGCAAATTTTTTTACACAGAAGGTGGTTCGCATTTGGAATGAATCTCCTGAGGCAGTGGTGGATGCAGGTACAATTACAGCATTCAAAAGACATTTAGATTGGTGCATGAATAGGAATGATTTGGAGGGATTTGGGCCAGGAGTAGGGAGGTGGGAGTAGTTTAGTTTGGTATTATATTCGGCGTGGACTGCTTGGACAGAAGGGTCTGTTTCCGTGCTGTATAACTCTATGCGTGCTTATTTTAGTCATGGACTGGACTTCTCCCAACCGAAAATATCTTCAGCAAGCCAAGTCACTCAATGCTCCTCTACATTGATGAACCACATTATTTTTAATACCTCAATTGTAGGCCCCTATTTTCTATACAAGAGGACATGGAGTTTTCAAAGCCTATCTTTAGGTAGATTATTTCCAATCCCTTAATTGGAGCTCAACTCATTTATCTTTCCTGCAGAATTCAGGATAATGCAGCAAAAGTTTTCCAAGTTGTGGAATCACATCTGAGTTGAACATTATGCAAGTGAAGTCTTGATAATCCTGAGTTTGCAAAGAATTACACTGATAACCAATTCAAGATTATCACATTTGCATTATGGCGCATTTGCTAGTACAGAAAGTTGCATATATTAATAAATCGACAGAGCCTCTTTCTTTGCAGGTAGAAAAGCGTGTACAGAACTGTTTCAATTTAACAAAATAGGTGGTAGATACACACTGGTTCATTTCTCAGGGCCATTCCTTGACCAATCTGACTCAACCTGCCTTGTTTTTAAATTTGAACAAAACCTGACGGTCAATTGCGAATCATCATTAACAAGTGTATTCTCTATAGCAATGCCTCTACCTATCCCCTCCTCCCACCTCAAGCCGCACCCCCATCTCCTACCTACTAACCTCATCCCGCCCCCTTGACCTGTCCGTCCTCCCTGGACTGACCTATCCCCTCCCTAACTCCCCACCTACACTCACCTTTACTGGCTCCATCCCTGCCTCTTTGACCTGTCTGTTTCCTCTCCACCTATCTTCTCCTCTATCCATCTTCTATCCGCCTCCCCCTCTCTCCCTATTTATTTCAGAACCCCCTTCCCCTCCCCCATTTCTGATGAAGGGTCTAGGCCCGAAACGTCAGCCTTCCTGCTCCTCTGATGCTGCTTGGCCTGCTGTGTTCATCCAGCTCTACACCTTGTTATCTCAGAGCACTTGCTAGCCAGTCAGCATGTTTCTTTCATACAAAATTTATCTTCCAATGAGAAACACAAATGATGTTGATGAAACAAATGTTACATTGATTAGGACCTGTTTTATATGTGCATATTTCTACCATGATGTATTCTTTTCAGGTGTCTTTTGCAGTGTTCAGTCTGGCAAGACTGGATGTTCTCGCTTGGATATATAAATCCTAAATGCACGGATGAACAGAAAATAACAGAGATGGTCTATAACATTTTCCGTATTCTTCTGTATCATGCAATTAAGTACGAATGGGGAGGCTGGCGTGTTTGGGTAGATACTCTGTCAATAGCACATTCTAAGGTAGGATTTGTTAATAATTGCAACTTCATTATATTAGCAGGAGTTAACTACAAAAGCACATGTTCAAGTTCTGCTGTAAAGTGCATTGTTAGTATAACAAAGAACCTTATTCTTTGTACTATAGAAGTAAAAGTTGAGGGTGGGCTAACTTAGTTGGCTGGACGACAGGTTTGCAGTGCATACTTCAACAACATGGGTTCAATTCCTGCTTTGGCTGAGGTTACCAAGAGGGATTGCCCTTCTCAATCTCTTCCCTTGCTTGAGGCATACTGACCCTCAAGTTAAACCACCATAAGTCATCTGTCTCTAAATGAGAGAGCACAGCCTTATAATTTAGTAAGACTATAACAGCTTTTTACTATAGTAGTGACAATGGAATAATGGATCATGACTTTCTTTGCAGCATAAGAGCAGTAACTTCTTTTCAAAATTGTTTTAATATGGTTCAGCTCACTATGTAGCAATAAACATTTATGGATTGAAGAAGACTGTAAATATGTAATAAGCAATGTGATATGCAGTTCATTGTCACCCTCTTCTGGTAAATTAGAAAAATTGCAATTCAGCTGTCTGTCACCTGGGTTACTTCCTGATTGTGTTGCCTATTAAAACATTCTATGTTTTGATTGAAATGGAAATTAGCTTTATTATTTGGACAATATTTTGTTCCTTAATCATTTTCTGTACTAATTTTTTAAAAATTCTAAGTTAAAATGATTTAAATTAAATTACCTTTGTATTTTTGGCTGAGACTGTCCAGCTACCACCGTTGCAATTCCATCTTTGATTGTATTATGCTATGTTTCATCATTATGTTTGAATCAGAGTCAAAGAGATATTCAGTACAGAAAAAGACCTTTCAGTACATTGAGTCTCTGCCAGTCAAAAACAGGCACCTAACTGTTCTAATCCCATTTTCCTGCACTTGGCCCATAGCCTTGTATGCCTTGGCATCCCAGGTACCCAGGTAAATAGTTCTTAAATGTTATTAGGGTTTCTGACTCTACCACCTAGTCAAGCAGTGAGTTCCAGATTCCTACCACCTCTGGGTGAAAAGATTTTTCCCAAAATTCTTTCCAAACCTTCTGTTCTTTACCTTAAATCTGTACCCCCGGTCATTGATCCCTCTGCCAAAAAGAAAAAAATTCTTCTCTGCTCTATCTATGCCCCTCATAATTTTATCCATTTCAATCATGCTCCCCCCATTCATTCTCCTCCGATCCAAAGAAAACAATCCCACTCTATCCAATCTCTCTTCTTAACTAAACATCTCTAACCTAAGCCAAACCTGGTAATCACCTTTGCACACTGTCCAGTGCAGTCACTCTTAAATCTAGATTCTAGAACTGTACTCTAGCAGTTGGCTTAACTTAACGTTTTGTACAGTTCCAGTATAATCTCCCTGCTCTTAAACTTTATGCTTTGGCTAATAAAGGCATGTATCCCATATGCCTTCTTAAACACTTTATCTACGTGTCCTGCTAAATTAAGGGAGTGGTGTATGTGCACATCAAGGTCCCTCTGATCCTCAGTGTTCCTCAGGGTCCTATGTTTGTCATGTATTCCGTTGCCTTCTTTGTCCTGCCCATCACCATACACTTATGCAGATTGAATTCCATTTGCCATTGATCAGCCCATCTATATTCTTCTATAATCTAGGGCTATCTTCACTATTCACCATCTAACCAATTTTCACATCTTCCACAAACTCACTGACCAACTGGCTGTATTCAAGTCTGAATCATTTCTATTATAACACAAACAGCAAAGGCTCCAACACTGAGCCCTGCCTAACCCCACTGGATGTAGGTTTCTCTCGAGTATAGAGAAAAAAACATGGAGCAGTACAGCACAGGAACAGGTCCTTTGGCCCACCATGTCTGCACCACCATGATGCCATTCTAAACCAATCTGCCTGCACATGGGGCTGTAAATCCTAATTATAATCCTATAATTCCCCTATTTCAAGAACTGCAACATCCCCCCTCCGGTGATTCAGAATGCCCTGAACCACTTCTCTTGCATTTCCTGCACTTCTTCTGCCCTCAATCCCTCTCCCCCCAAACAAAAATAAGGATAGAGTCCCCCTGGTTCCCACATAGCACCCAACAACTTCCGCATCCAGCGCATCATCCTCCGCCACGTCCACCACCTACAATCCGACCTCACCACCAAAGAGACATTTTCCTCCCCACCTTATTTGCCTTTTGTAGGGACTGATCTCTCCGCGACTCCCTCGTCCGCTCCACACTCCCCCACCAACCCCACCACACCTGGCACCTTTCACTGCTACATCTCCCTTGTTACCTCTGTCCAAGGCCCCAAACAATCTTTCCAAATCTGACAGTGATTCACCTGTATGTCTTCCAATCTGGTCTACTGTATCCATTGCTCCCGATGTGGTCTCCTCTGCATCGCTGAGACCAAGCGCAGACTCTGTGACCGATTCACGGAGCAACTGTGCTCTGTACGCTATAATCAACAGCACCTTCTGCCTGGTGGCCATTTTAACTCCCCTTCCCACTCCCATGGTGACATGTCCATCCTGGGCCTCCTCCAGTGTCACGATGACACCACACATAAACTGGAAGAACAACACCTCATATTCCACCTTGGGAGCTTACAGCCCGATAACCTCAACATAGAGTTCACCAGTTTCAAAATCTCCCCACCCCTAGCCTTATCCCATGTCCAACCCTCTTTCTCATCCCTGCCTCCTTGACCTGACACTACCTGTCCATCTTCTTTGTCACCTATCCTCCCCACCCTTACCTCTGACCAATCTCCATTACCCCTACCGCATCCACCTATCACCGTCCCACCTACCTTCCCCCAGCCCCACCCTCTGCCTCTTTATTTATGAGCTACCTTCCCCCTCCCAAGTCCTGTGAAGATTGTAAACCCAAAACGTCGACTTTCCTACTCCTCTGATGCTCCCTGACCTGCTGTTTTCCTCCAGCTCTACACTGTATTATCTCTGACTCCAGCACATACAGTTTTTGCTATCTCCACCTTATCAATCAAGTTGGTCAGACATGACATTCTCTTAAAAAAACCATGGTGGCTGTTCTTGATTAATCCCTATCTCTTCAAGTGCAGGTTAATTCTTCCCCTCAGAATTGTTTCCATTAGTTTCCCTATCATTGGGGTTATACTTAGTGACTGACCTGTAATTTCTTGGTTTATCTCTTCATGCAGTAGTAATTATAGTGCTGATTCTAAGTGCTGATACTATTTTATACGTGCCAAGTTTTTATTTCTTGCAATGCACTCAGGAAGACTTGTGAACCAGAATAAAGTATTAAATCCATTATTAATTTGCAATGTAAACATCAATCCCTCTCATGCCCTCCATTTTGATCTCTGAGAGGAGATATTAACCATCGAATGCTGACAGAATATGATGCTATATCAATACAATTATGGCGTGCTTTAGATCCCTCTTAACTTATCAATGTATCAGTTCCATGCACCAGATGTACTGGTTGTTTTGTCATAGTTGTTATCAAACCATTATCATTCATTAAACAAAATCTTAACAGAAGCACTACTTTGTTAGATTATTTTCCAGAAATTACTAAACATTTAAAGCAGGTCATTTAAGAATGAAGAATGGAAGATTTTGATCATTTGGAAAAAGAATTGCAAATTGCAAATGAATTATTATGATTCGAGTTAATCTACTTCTCCTAAGAAACAAACTAGGAGCAGGAGTAAACCTTTCAGCCCTTTATAACCTTTATTACTGTTCCATGATCATGAAGATATTCAGCTTTGCAATTAATCAGCTGTTGATCAGGAACTGATTTTCAATAATACATCTCGCTTTCAGAAAGGTCTCTATCATTTTAATTTTTTTCCCACAAGTACAGGATCTCTTGGTGCTGATGATGGAAGAATACAATTGCTGCTATGCTGTCTAACTAAGGGGGAAGTCTTGTGGTACAGTTGATAGCATCCCTACCTCTTAGCAAGAAGCTCTGGGTTCGAGTCCCACTTGGGGATTTGATGGCCAAGGGAGGTGTATTCATAACCCAGCCAAACAAGTTAAACATCAATTGGTAAATACTTTGGCAGATGGTAAAATTGAGGGAGTGTCCTGGTCATCCATGTTTGATGCTGAGTGGTGCCCCTCAGGTTATAACCTCTGTCACCACGCTAACAACCTGTCACCGTATCCCCTACCCAGCTTGTATCCAAATTCCTACTCATCTGCCGTCCTGCCCTGGCACCATTTTTCCTCCCCAGTAAGCACTCTTCTCACCTAGCATCCTACTTACCTGGCACTATAACCAACAGGCACCTATGTGACTGGCAGTCTACCTCTCCTACCCATCTGGCACCCTATCCTCTTGGCACCTTAATGTCTAACGTATACCGTGTATAATTACGGTCTGACAGACACTGTCAAAATTACTGTCAGGACTTTAAGTCTCAGAATATAGCAGTTGACTGCTGTGAAAATGGGGCATGATTTATCTTCCTCTGACAGTTCTACACTATGAATGAGCTGTCAGAATAGAAGTAGGGCTTCGTATTTCTGAGGGAGTCCTGAACAGAATTGCCTGTCAGAAATGCTGAGCTTTAATTAAAAAAAAAAGTGAGATTGCCATTCATTGGAAAATCCAGTCCATGATTTCTAATGGTGTTACATGTAGACATATTTCAAGACTTTAGTCGTTTTTCTTTAACTCTAATTGGTATGTTTTTAATGTGAATAAAATGATTTAACTGGTGTCTGCTGTAGCTGAAAGGCAAGACCATAATATTTTTAATTCAAATTTAATTGTACTATTGCAGAGCCATAATGTTTGTTCCAAAACATCCATTTGAATGATTTGGACATTGAAATATCTATAACTGCTGTTGATTGATTACAACTAACATTACTGTTTCTGAAGGTCACCTATGAAGCTCATAAGGAATACCTAGCCAAGATGTATGAAGAGTATCAAAGGCAAGAAGAGGAAAACATCAAAAAAGGAAAAAAGGGTAGTGTTAGCACAATTTCTGGCCTTTCCTCTCAAGCAATAGGATCCAAAGGAGGCATAGAAGTCAGAGAAATTGAAGATGGTTCCCAGACTCAGAGCCCAGAGAGTGAAACTGACTACCCTGTCAACACGGATTCTAGAAATCTCCTAGTTGAAGCAAGGGTATCCAGTAGTGGTGCAGACAGTTCAGACAGGCCAACAACAGGAGTACATGTGGAGGTTCATGATCTCTTGGTGGATATCAAAGCAGAGAAGGTCGATGCCACAGAAGTAAAACTTGATGATCTAGATCTCTCACCTGAGACACTGGTTGCAGAAAATTGTAACCTGGTCGAGGTAGAATCTCTTTTGGACAAGGTTTATACTTCTGCTGTGGAGAAACTACAGAACAATATTAATAGCACCTCCATTTCTCAACAGAGAGAACAGAGAGACAGTGGTCCCTTAATATCTCTGGTAGATGAAAAGGATAATGAACCTATTAATAGTACATCATTTCTCTTTGATAAAGCAACAAACCATCAGGAAAAACTACTGGCTGAATTGCCAGCTGCTGACAATCTTTCAAGTACAACTGTGCCAGAGAACCAAATACATTCAAGTGCCAGCGATGACCTGGGGCTGTTAGCTCATATGACCAGTAATTCAGATATTACAAGTCCAAAATCTATAATTGAGGATAAGGATTTCAAAATTGCAACAAATTTGGAAGAAATGAGTATCCTGTCTGAATCAGAAGGAATTGTTGCAAAAGCAGTGGAATATACTGAAATGATTGGCACAACCATTGATTCAGAACTATCTTCAAAAAAGACTGTAGGTAACTTGGATGCTGCTAGCACAGTTTCTGATACTGACAGATCTGATGATGGCAAAGAACCAGGGAAAGAAGTTAAAAAGATTCAAACCACCACCACAACTCAGGTAAGATTTAAAAAGATAATATGCTTTGCTCATCTTGTTAATTATATTCTGCATTTGTAATAACTGCATAAATGAGAAATGAATACTTTTTATTTGTTAGAAATGTGAGTGAACTGTGCTTCTATTTACATCTGTTTTTCATTTATACTTCCTTATGTTCTTCAGTAATGTTGTTGTCCATCTTTAGTCAAGCAGACAGCTGGGCCTAGTATGAGGTTAACAGTTTCATGACATCCAAAATTAAAACTGAGAAAAACTGCAGAACAAAACATTTAGCATTTGAATTGCAGATGCCAAAAGTACATTTATGACTTGTCTCCTCTAATTTGAAGCCTCTAAGTTATAAATTTCACGAGTCATATATTATCTAACATAAGAGTTGAGAAATCATAAGCTTATAAGGTAGTGATCAATCTACGTTTAAATATGCATAAGCTAAATAGACAGAAAAAGTATACAAGCATGACAGATGAATGATTTACTGATCCCAGGGGTAGAAAAGCAAATGCAGCTGATGTTTGCAGCTGGAAGGAATAGTCTCTTTTCTGATGGTTAACAGAAGTGTTCTCCTTTGTTCTTTGCCTCCTTGAGTTGACCAAGATATTAGAAAACTTCTAGTTTTATGCTAGTCTTCAAGCATCCATTAATTTACTTTATTTCTAGGGGCTAGTTGTTGGCTCTACATTAACCAATTGCTCAGACTCTTCTAAGCAATGATTACAGCAGATATCCAAGTGTTAGGGTGGACACCTGAATTGAATTGGACTGGACTGAATCAGCTTTGTTGTCACATGTACTCAACTGAGTACAGTAAAAAGTTTATAAGGTGCCATTTATAGTGCCATCATAGGCACTAAAGGTACCTAGGTACAATCTTTAGTTACAGAATAGAGAAATGAAGAAAAAAAGTTACATTACCATAGGTCAGAAAAAAGCAAAGTTAAAAAGACAACCATCACAGTCTCTCTACAAAGGCTTTCTGCAGCAGACCAATGGAGGGGGCCTCCACATGGTCTGGCGGCTGGCTGCTGCCATGCTCCATGCTGGGCCACTGCTGGCATGCTTCCGCATCGGGTCGCTATCCCTGCTCTGCACTGGGCTGCCAGTATCCCTGTTGTGGTCGCCAGCGTCGCCGCTATGGCTGTTGGCATCTCTGCTGATTGCTGACTGTGCTTTGCAGGCTGGGACTGGGTATCCAAGGCTGAGAGAACAGATGAGAGAGGGAGAGGGAAAAAAGATAAAGAACAGGCAGAACGGAGGAGCTTGGCTGGAGCGGCCTACTTTGCTGCCATCTTACCGGAAGTCCCATTACCTGTCCCATTGTACATCACTTCAGCTTATGTCTGATTTTTAGTTTACCTCATACCAAGAGTCCTTCATATGCCCTTATCATACACACAGACACTGGCGTGTAAACATGAAATGGTTTATACATGAACTGAGCACCATACAGTCATAGTTGGAGCCAGCAGTGCAGTGGTAACGTCTCTGGCTTAATAGTCAAGAGACCCAGGCAAATTCTCGTGGGTTCATGAGATCCACCATGACATCTGGTGGAAATTAAATGCAATTAATAGTGATCTGGAACTGTGAAGCTATTCTCAGTAGTGGTGCAATGAAACTGTCATTTTTTTTTAATAAAAAATTTTTAATAAAAATAGAAATTTTTTAATAAAAGAGAAGGAAATTTGCCATCCTAACTCAGTCTATCTCAGATTTAAGATTAACAACTGTTTTAGCATCAGCTGCCATTTGTGGACGGAAGTTCCAAACCACTACCTCCCTTTGTGTATAGAAATGTTTCCTAACATCTGTCCTGAACTGCCTGGCTGTAAGTTTTAGATTATGGACCCCTAATTTGCAAATCCCCAACCATTGAAAATAGTTCATCTTTATCTCCCTTGGATTTTTCTGTTAATATCTTGAAGACTTTGATCAGATCACCCTTTAATCTTCCAAATTTAAGGGAGACCAGGCCTGATGTGCCTAATCTCTCTTCATAACTTATCCCTGAAATTCAGGTATATTCTTCTAAACCTATGTTCAGGCCAATACATCATTCCTAAAGTATGGTGCCCAAGTCAGTACTCCAAGGGGGGTCTTACCAGGGTTTATATAACTACAGCATAACTTCTGCATCTTTGTATTCGAATCCTCTGGATATAAAAACCAGGATTCCATTAGACACTATTTTCTGTACCTATTGAAGGTATTTTAAGATCTATTCTGCTGAATCTTTGAGTGTCTTTGAACATCCACTGTATTTACCTTCATAGCATCGAGAAAGTACCCTGATCTATCCTTTTTTGGTCCAAAATGGATAACTTCATACTTGCTTTTTTGAATTCCATCTACCACAGTTTTGCCCATTCACCTGCTCTATTGATATCTGTTTGTGATTTTATGCTATCATCTACACTGTTTGCAGTGCTACTTAACTTTGTGTGATCAGAAAATTTTTTATATGACTTTTTATACCATTGTCCAAGTTAATGAAGGAACTGGTGATGGTTGGGACACTGTCCTGTGAAACTTTGACAGTGATATCCTAGACTGAAATGATTAGTCTCCAATGATGTAACCAACATCCTTTATGTTATGATTCCAACTGGTGGAGAATTTTCTCCTGATTCCCACTGACATCAATTTTGATCAAATACTCCTTTGTTATCAACAGTCTTTGTCCATGTTTTGTGGAGATGAGGGGTATGCAGTTAACAGGAGGAGAATGTGGTTCCAAGAATACTCCTAAACACATCAATAGAGAAACCCAACATACCAATGCATAAACAAGGCTGACGCATTCATAATCTTCGTCAACGGGAAATGTCAAGTGGATTTTCTACCTCAATCTCCTCAGGTCCCACTATCATAGATCCTACTCCAAAGTCAATGTAGGGGATGTAGTAAAGGAAGATATTCTTGAGCCATAATGCTTTCCCGTTTATTTCAGAAACCCAGAAAATAAATAAAGACCTTTGGAAGTAAATAGGGAGCTTCGAGAATTGAATGTTATGATCAGAGCAAAAAGCTTGTGAAAAGTGACATCCAGAAGGAAAATGTCAGTATTTGAGCCATTTGATCAGAGTTGAAAAGCCATGGAGACCTATGCTAGAAGACAGCAGAAAGATGGTTTGACCCAGGCATCTAGAATGATTGACATCATAGCACAGTTGTAAGTGAGCTAAACCAGTTCTTTGAGGATGACAGAGACAGACAAGTATGAATATCATTTACTGCAGATCTTCTGCTAGTTGTAGGTACAAGCATAGAAAGAGGGCCCATGTTTTAACCAAGGTAATAATGTGATCTGGTCACAAGTGTTCCAAAATGAGCATTATTGATCAGGTTAATGGGGAGTAAGTACCACGACAGCAGTTTCAGCAATAGTTTGCATTACTTTACAGATGATTGTGAGTGGGCAGATGGATTGCTATTATTGATATAGGATGCTTCTATTTAATCTAGATAGGGTGTACCTACACAGTTTCAACATTAATGGGAAATGCCAGTTTTGCAGCTTTATTGGAGTATTTTGAATAGAGAAATGCCTAGATTTGAAGCTCAACAAGGAGGTTGTTGATGCTCATTCCCATATGTTTCCCCCACATTAAAGCCTTGCTTGTTATCATATGGAGCAAATACAATTGACTTTGGAGTAGGATCTGATAGTGGGACTTGAGGAGATTCAGGTAGAAAATTCACTTAACATTTCCAGTTGATGAAGTTTATGAATGCTTTAGCATTGATATGTTGGGTTTCTCCATTGATATGTTTAGGAGTATTCTGGGAACCACATTCTCCTCCTGTTAACTGCATAATGATCCACTGCCATTGACAATTAGATATGGTAGGAATTCAGAAGCCTTGATGTGACTGTTAATTGTGGGATTGATGTCTCTGCCTATATCATGTGGAGCTGGAGAAACATCAGTAGGTCAGGCAGCATCAGAGGAGTAGGGTCCTGATGAAGGGTCCCAACCTGAAACATCAACTTTCCTGCTCCCCTGATGCTGCCTGACCTGCTGTGTTCCTCCAGTTCCACACTGTATTGACTCTGACTCTAGCACCTACAGTTCTTGCTATCTCCTGCCTACATCACGTTGTGTCTATTTAGCCACATTGTTGTCTTGTGTCTAGCTTCATCCGATGAACACCTCAGTTTCAGGTATTAAAGCAACGTACTGCACATGCTGGAGATCTGAAAAATGATGGAATGCCAGAAAACTCAGCAGGTCTGGTGGCATCTGTGGAAACAGAGATAAAGTTTTGAATCCATTACAACTCTTCTTTGGAACTGAAAGGGACTGGAAAATGTTTTTTTTTAATGCTGTTGACAAAAAGGGAGGAGGAGCAAGCGAAACTGATGATTAGAGTACCCAGAGCAAAAGACAAAAGTATTTCTAATGATAGTAGTATATCCCTCCTCTCACCATCAATTCCATCTGCTCCTACTCTCCTTTTGTCAACAACATGTAAACCATTTGACCTTGAAATGTTAACTGTTTCTTTTTCCACAGATTTTACCAGGCCTCCTGAGTTTCTCCAGCACTTTTGTTTTCATTTTCAGAAATGCTTGATGCGTGCTGTTCATTTGCTGTTGGACCCCAGCTTGCTAACAATGTAATGCTGGATTGAGGCATGTGCAAGGCTATGAGTTTATAGACTATAATGAAATACATTGTATTGCTGATGATGGCCCAGTTTTGACCTGCTAGATTTGATCTGACTCTTACCCATTTAGCACAATGTTAGTGCCACACGCACGATGGTGGGTAGCTTCTTTGTGGAGATTGGTCTTCATTTCTGCAAGGTCTTTCGAATGGTCACTGCCACTAGTTTTGTCATAGTCAAATGCATCTGTAAAAAGCAGAATGACGAGAAGTTTGTGAATTTTCCCACGCCTTTGTTCTTGCTACTTATGCCAAGCCAAGTTTTGCAACTGTGACCTCTGGACTCAGCCAACTTGTTCAGCAGTAATGTTACTGAACTATTCTTGGTAATGGACTTTGAAGTTCCCTTTCCGTGACTGCCATGTTGTTATTTCATTACTTGTAGGACCATGTCCCTACAACTTAATGAGAAGGACATTCCAGGGTCAACTTTGGCTATGGTGTGTAGAATTTATTCCTTAGGCTGTGTGATCCATCTGGTTCTATTCTAATTGCAACTTTTTTGTAGCTGATTGGTGAAACTGGATGGTTAAGTTGGTTTTGCTAAAGCCAACCATAAAGTGCTGATATGTACCTAAAGCATCAACGGGAAGCAAACAATGAATTGTTTAAATCACCATTGTCATCTATTTTGTAATTTGCACTTCTGACTAAAGATCAGCTTGCAGCATATTCAGATAATGGAAGCATTTGTTGAGGTAACAAAGGGGAACTGCCTGCCACCCAGCTGTTTGATAGAAAACTTATTATAGAGTCATAGAGTCATTCAGCATAGAACAGCCCTTCGACCCTCCATGTTTAAGCTGACAAAAAGACACCAAACTACACTAATCCCAGTTAGCTGCACTGGCCCGTAGCCTGCTATGCCCTGACATTTGAAGTGCTCAACCAAATGCTGCTTAGAAGTTGCAAGAGTACCTGCCTCCACTAACCTCTCAGGCAACATCTTCCATATTTCTACCACCCTCTGGGTGACAACAGTTTTCCTCTGATCTTCTTTAAACCACTTATCCCTTGCCTTAAACTTTATCTCAGTGATTATTTAAGAACTTAATATTTCCAATTTCCTGCCAGACCTTCCTTGTTTAGAAAGAATGATGGCAACTGGGATTATGATAGATTTTAGGTTTCCTAAGCAGTTAAGATAATGCAGGGAAAAAAAATTCCTGAACCAGATTTTAGAAATATTTCTGTGATTCCAAGCTGGTGTGATTTTCACTGCTTGGCAATGCCAAGAGAAATGCTACAGACAACACCAACCATTCTACATGACCTTCATTGATCTGACCAAATTTTTGTCTCAGTCATTTTGGAAATGCTATGGAAGACCCTCTCAAAGGCCAACAGTCCATTGAAATTCATCAACATCCTCTGTCTTTTCCATGACAAGATGAGAGCAATGGTCCTCACTGACAATAATTTGATGGAATCCTTTGAGGTCAAGACAGGGGTCAAGTAGGGATGTATCATTGCCCCAATCTTTTTCTTCATCTTTATTGCTTTATTCTTTATCCTGTCAAGAACAAGCTTCCCAGTGCTGTAGGCATGATCTACAGGATGGATGGAAGACTTTTCAAACTAAATCAGTTGAAATTCAAAATAACAATGACCCCACTTTCTCTTGTGGAACTTCATTTGCAGATGGAAATGTCATCTGTGCTCTCTCGGAAAAAAATCTTCAAGCTTCCCTTAATGCCTTTGCAGAAGCATACCAAAGAATTGGTCTCAGCCTCAACTTCAAAGAGACATAAATCCTTTACTGACCCATCCCAGGTCAAGTTTTGATCCACCCCTTCGTTAAGATCAACAGAGAAATTCTCCCAAATGTAGAACATTTCCCCTAGCTGGGAAGCTATTTTCCATCTAAGGCTGATATTGATGCAGAGATTCAACATCACATCCCATCTGCAATGCTGTCTTTGAACACCTAACAATGAGAGACTTCAATAACTATGACATCTATGCTGATACCAAAATCCTTGTGTATAAAGTGGTCATCCTCCCAATTCTTCTATATGACTCTGAAGTTTGGACTACGCATAGATGCCACTTTAAGACTCTTAAGTGTCAACAATGCTGATTGAGATGGGGGCTACATCGGTGTACCTGAAACACACAATAGCGCCAGCATCAAGGCCATGACCACCTGAAGCCAACTCAGTTTTGCCAGCAACTTGGAGACAGTGAGGATTGCATTTGCTGGAAGCCACAGTCAACAGATGTGTAGCTGGAGAAGCACAGCAGGCCAGACAGCATCCGAGGAGCAGGAAAATCAACATTTCAGGCCTTCATCAGGGTTTTGACCCGAAACATTGACTTTCCTGCTTCGCGCTGTCTGACCTGCTGTGCTTTTCCAGCTTCACATCTATTGACTCTGTTTTGCCAGCCATGTGCTTAGGATGCCCGAGTTCCAACTGCCATAACAAAACATCTTCACCCAGCTCAAGGAAGGCACTCAAACAAAAAGGAAGCATTTCGAAGACTCCTTGAAGGCTTCCTTCAAGAAATGCAACAGCATAGGAGACACTCATTCAAAAGAAACTAACTTGGATGAAACATCTCAATGAAGGGACAAGATTCTTTGAGAAAATCCAACAGAAGAGGAAATACAGAAAAGTAACTGGAGAAAGGAATGCCAAAGATCTCAAGGCCAAGGACCATTTTCACCTCCTTGAAACACCTGCTAAATATGTGGTCAGAGATGTAGCTCTAGGATTGGGTTCATCAGCCATGCAAGGACCCATAGAACCCATGATCAGTGAAATGGAATTTCCTTGGTGGGCGATCATACTTGTTAGCAAATTATTGCTGGCAATCATTGCTTAGGAATGCAAGGTGATCACTAATCAAAAAAAGATGGTGTATTCTTGAGTAACGCTGTCTTAATATTTGCCCAAAACATGTCAATTTTCACATGTATGCTGAAAATGGCTATCACTACCTTACCACTTTTTTAAAATCAGTCCTTCTGTATCCTCTGATTAATCACATTGCTTGTCCAACATCAATATTTGATGAGTAACAATTTCTCCCAGTTAAATATAGCAAAGTCTGAAGGAATTGTTTGATCCTGCCACGCACACGCACGTACCTGGATCTCCAAACACAGCAGCGTTCTTAATCATTTGGTACAAAACTCTGTTGTTATTGTAACAGTGTATTATCAGTGACTTGCCATGAGTATTGCTTCTGGAGATTAACCAACACCATTACAAATCTTTAATATACAAATCTGTGGACACATGGATCATATTTTACTGACTTGACTCGAGTTAACTTTCTGTTGGATGTTTCAAATTCTTATTTCCTAAAATTATTCAATACTTTGGTGGTGCTCATCCCTACCCTTTTTGCAACATTTCTGTTTTAATATAATCTGAATTGTATTTTTTTATTAAATGTACATCAGTTTAAGCTTTTGAGTTCATTCTCTTGTTATGGAGGATGTTGAAGATTTATTTAAATTAATTATATAATTTTTAATTTACAGTCCATTCAGGGACGAGGAGGTGGGTTTCAAGAAAGAGACCTGCGTGTTGATCTTGGTTTCCGAGGAATGCCAATGACTGAGGAGCAGCGCCGACAGTTTAGTCCAGGACCACGAACTACCATGTTCCGCATTCCTGAATTTAAGTGGTCCGCTATGCATCAGCGTTTGCTGACAGATCTGCTTTTTGCTTTGGAAACAGATGTGCATGTTTGGCGGAGGTGATGAAATATTAGCATTTCCTGTAGATAATAATGTCTGTAGAACTTTATATAATGCTGTTGATATCCTTGATACATCGCAAAGTACTACACTTTAAAGTGCACTGTTATCTAGAGAAATACCGTAGCCAATTTGCCCAGCATAAACATCAAATGAATGACTGACCATTTAAATTGTTTTTGAGGTGGTAGTTTCACAGGGGAAGCTCGGTGCTTTCCTCTATCAAAGTACCTTGTATGTTTAATTTGAAAAGCCAATCAGAACCTTCGTTTAAGTCTCATTTGAAAAATGTTGTTTCTGACAATGTAGCAATCTCTAACAGAATTAGATGTTCTATTCAGAGGCAAAAGTAATAAGAAACTTAAGAAAAGTGCTTTGTTAAGTGGAGAAATTCTGTTATGATTGGTTGTTTAAATCTGTTTTATTTGGTTTAGTTAAGAAAAAGGAGGTGACCCTGCCTAATGATCTCCATGATTGAAATTTCCAAACTGTCATTTTAATCTTCACTTTTTATTGTAATGCATCATGTGAATTTGGAAAGAATTTTTAAGGAAATCAGCATTATGTCACTTAAAGATTTTTAATAAAAGTTGTACACTTTAGGCTTTATGTACACTTGAATTTCAAAACTGTCAATTACATCTAAGAGATATGATCAGTTCTTAAGTATTATAATAAGACTATTTTTCAGTGGGACTAGTCCAAGAGGAATTTTGATCCATAACCTTGATAATTAACTGTATTAATTTTCCACCTCATGCAAGTGCAGGGAAATCTCACCCACTAGTTAAAAAAAATTTCTAATCTACCTGTTCAGATATTGTTGCACATCTCTGTAGTGGGTGAGACTTGAAATCATGCCTCCTGGCTCTGACCCACTCATTCTACAAATGAGGCAGTTGTGAGCTTCCTACCCATGATTTAATGTCCATTTAAAATGGCTAGGTGGTAAACTGTGAGCAATTTTTTGAAGCTTGTTGCCAGTATGCTATGCAAAGCTGAACAGTGCAAAATAAGGCAGTTGCCATTGTGGTCTTAACTGTTTTACAGGAATACTGAAAGGAATGAACAGTAGAGTATATAAGCAGGGAATGTGAGAATGTGACTAGTTTATCTTCTTTCCTGCAACATAACTCAGATCTACCCACATTTTCTGAACTGAATGTTCTCTTATATTTTGTGTGAATCTCTTCTCATTTCCTATACCCAAATTTGTAATGGGTTATTCCCATGTAAGCTTGCTGCTCTGTGCAAGTAAGTTACCACAAATGACTCAAAATGCTTCCTGAAAATCTGACCCTTTTGCTCAATGAGTGCAATTTCTGATGTCTAAATGTAGGTTTGAACAATTACATATTTCCAAATAACATCATAAATAACATAATTTCCTTGCCGTTTTATATCCTTCAATAAGTTCACTAAAGTTTTTATTTGGATCCTAAGACTCTTCCAAAAATTTGGACTTGATATTTTTGAGTCTGAGAGCTGAACCTGGATTGTGAATCCAGACTGCATTTAATACCCCAGAACTTGCACTGTTCATTCAGTTGTGCTGAAACTCATTGACACATAAAAATACTAAATTATGGTTGACAAAACAGAAATTGGGCTGTTAGAACATAGAACATAGAACTGTGCAGCACAAGAATGGGCCCTTCCTCCCACGATGTGCCAAACATGGCACCAAATGAAACTAATCCCTTCTGCCTGTCATTGGTCCATATCCCTCCGCTCCTTGCATATTCATGTGCTTACCTAAAAGCCCCTTGAATGTCCTTATAATATCCAGCTCCTCCACCACAGTGCGTTCGAGACTCCTACCACTCTCTGTGTGCAAAACTTGCCCCTCACATCTGCTTTGAACTTTCTCCCTGTAACCTTAAATACATGCCCCCTAGTATTAAGACATTTCAACTCTGGGAAAAAGATTCTGACCATCAACCTTATTTATGTATCTCATAATTTTATAGACTTCTATCAAGTCTCCCCTCAGCCTCCGCTGCTCAAGAGAAAACAACCCGAGTTTTTCTAGCCACTTCTTATAGCTCTTACCTTCTAATCCAGGCAGCATTCTGGTGAAGATCTTCTGTATCCTCTCCAAATCCTCCACATCCTCCCTGTAATGTGGTGACCAGAATTGAACGCAATACTCTAAGTATGGCCTAACCAACATCTTACAAAGCTGCAACATGACATCCTGACTCTTGTACTCAATTCCCTGACCAATAAAGGCAAGTATACCATACACCTTCTTTACCACCCTATCTACTTGCATGGCCACTTTCAGGGAGCTGTGGACTTGAACCCCAAGATCCTTGTGTACTTCAATGCTGTTCAGAGCCCTGCCATTAGCTATACTTTTTCTTAACATTTGATCTCCCAAAATGCAACACCTCTCACTTAGCCGGATTAAACTCCATCTACCATTTCTCTGCTCATATCTGCAACTGATCTATATCCTGCTGTATCTTTTAACAACCTTCTACACTATGCACAACTCCACCGATCTTTGTATCGTTTGCAAACTTACTAACCCACTCATTTACATTTTCATCCAAGTCATTTATATATCTCACAAACAGCAGAGGTCCCAGTACAGATCCCTGCGGAACCACTAATCATGGACCTCTAGACTGAAAAACACCCTTCCACCCCTACCATTTGTCTTCCATGAGCAAGTCAATTCTGTATCCATGCAGCCAAGTCACCGTGAATCCAATGCATCTTAATCTTCTGGATGTACCTACCATGAGGGACCTTGTTGAAAGCCTTTCTAAAATCCATGTAAATAACATCCACTGCTCTACCTTCACTGATCACCTTTGTCACCTCCTCGAAAAATTCAATGAAGTCAGTAAGTCATGACCTCCCCCGCACAAACTCATGCTGACTGTCCCTAATTAGGCCATGTTTTTCCAAATGTGCGTAAATCCTATCCCTAAGAATTCACTCCATTTTGTTAAGTTGTTGAGTTGAGTTCAAAATTCCTGGAGGTTATGTAGAGGCTGTGTACTACCCTAGTCTGATTTATCTTTGACTAGGTAATCTAGAACTATTTCGCACTTGTAAAGTGATACCTAAGAGGCTATTTCATATATTTTGTTTAGGATTGTTGTGTGTCTGACATATTTACAAACCTGTTTAATATTTAAGTGGTTAATAGTTTCAAAAAGAAGCTACTAGGAGAGTCATTGTGATAGACATCTTGTTTTCCAATTTGGAATGTACACTGCTCATTGGGGCAAATCTACTCATCATGTACCAGGTCGCACGTTAGCAATCTGTAATCAGGTGGTAGATATATTCCATTGAAAGGGCTGACTGTTTAGGTTCCACCATTCCAGCCAGGCTAGATGGTCAAGCCTCAACAATTCCCTCATGATGATTCCATCTGCCACAAGTATTGACTTTATCCCAGTCTTCAATTGCCAGGCATTATTGGAACCCCTTGCCTAATGCCATTAGCTGACCCTTTCAGTTATGAAAGAAGACATCTGGGATTGTTCACAAAAGCAGCCTGTTCACCATAAAATGTGTGATTGCATTTCGTTGTGACCACAACTTGGACAGGCACATATCCGATTGAATAATGGTTCCACTAGTTGGAAGCGCATAGCTTCAGCAAGAACTACATCACATTCATGATGGGAAGCAAGCTCTGTATTTATTAAGTGGTATTTTGTATCTCTGGCTTTTATGAACCACCTCTTAATTGCAAGCTCAGACATTTGCTGATCAGCTGCATAATCAAAGTGCGTCTTTAGTTTGGTATTTGCACCTTCAAAGGCAGGGTCAGGGACAGAAATCATGGGGCCAAGTGCTGTTTCTGGTCCGGGTTCTGATCCAGACCAAGCTCGGCAGCTCCAGTGGAATCACAGTTGTCTCCAGAGAGCAGCGGGCCCAGGTTAACGAGTCTTGATGTATGCTCTTGTCCCAGGCCCCAAATACAGGACTGCTTCCAATGAACTATTAAGTGATTAATAGTTTCTTAGACCTTGAAAGTCTAAGAAATCCAAGCTAAACCTGTTTGTCACCAATCCAGTTGGTATAACACTCTTATTCAAAAAGGGAACAGGGCAAAAAAACAATTAACTCTGTAGCTGTTAGCTTAAGATGTCATTGGGAATGTAAGAGTCCATTTTAAAGCAGGTAAAAGCAAAGCATTTGGAAATATTTAATATAATTAAGCAGATCTAACATGGTCTAATGAAGAGGAAATCATGTCTGACAAATTTATTAGAGTTCTTTGAGGTGACAGCACTTGGGATAGATAAATAGGGACCAGTAAATGTAATATATTGAATTTCCAAAAGGCATTGAATAAGGTGCAGCAAATAAGCACCATGGCGTTGGGAAGTATATTAATATGGGATAGACAATTGACTAACAAATAGAAGACAGAGTTGGGATAAAGTGTTCATTTTCAGGATCTCAACCTGTAATTAATGGAGTGTGATAGGGCTGAATGCTGGACCCACAATTGTTTACACTACATATAAATGTTTTGGATGAGGAAAGTGAATGTACTGTCACCAAGTTTTTGGATGATAAAAAAATAGGCAGGAACATGAGTGGTGAGAATAACACAAAGAGTCTACAGAGGGACATAAACAGATTAGGTGATTGGGCAAAAACTTTGTAGACGGCATATAATGTGAGAAAGTATGAGCTTATGCAGTTTGGCAGGATGAGTAGGAAAGTTGAATATTATTTAAATGGAGATAGATTGCAAAAAGCTGCAGCATGGAAGGATTGGGAGTCCTCGTGCATAAGTCACAAAAAGCTGATGTACAAGTTCACGTAACAGGGAAGGCAAATGGAATATTTGCTTTTATTTCAAAGGGAATGGAATATAAAATATAAGGACGTCTTATTTAATCTACGTAAGACATAATTAGATCACACTTAGAATACTGTGAAGTTTTGGCTCCCTTATCGACCTCCAGAGAAGGTTCACTAAGATGAACCTGTGTATGGAGGGACTGTTTCATGAGGAGACATTTTTCTTTCTTTATTCGTTTATGGGATGAGGGCGTCGCTGGCTAGGCTGCATTTATTGCCCAGAGGGCAGTTAAGAGTCAACCACATTGAGTAGGTTGGGCCTGTACACATTGGAACTTAGAAGGAAGAGAGATAATCGTATTGAAATATATAAGATTCTTAAAGTGGTTGACAGGTTAGATGCTGAGAGGTTGTTTCCCCCTTATGGGAGAGTCTTTGACCAGAAGACATAATTTTATCATTAGGGGTTCACCCATTTCACACAGAAGTGAGGAGGAATTTTTTCTCTGAGGGTACTGAATCTGTGTAATTCTTTGCCATCGAGGGCTGTCAGGCTGGTTCATGGAGAATATTTAAGGTTGAGATAGACAAAAATGTAATAGTTAGGGAAATAGAAGGTTACGGTGAAAAGGCAGGAAAGTGGAGTTGATAGTTATCAGATCAGCCATGATATCATTGACTGGTGGAGCAGACTCAGACTGAATGGCCAACACTTGCTCTTAATGTTTTATGGTCATATGTTCTTACTACCTCTTCCAGTCTTAATACTCCTAAGAATCTGTCTTCCTCTGTCTTTTACTTATTATGGATATTGCCCTCTGACTTCTTCATCATTGACATCCAGCTGAATTCATTACCAAAATTTCTTCACCTTCCTCTCCTTCGATGCCATCTCTTAAAACTTAATCACCTCTATTAATGTTTTCCTTCTTTACTTTCGTATCTATTTTTGCTTGAGTATAACCCATTGAATTACCTTGGGGTTATTTTACTACTGTAAAGATGCTGTGCAAATATAAATTGTTATGATTGTTGTAAAATTAGCTTCAAAAACATTCTGACAATGATGGAAATTGGTAATTAGAACAGATGTCCTGTGTATTTTCATGACAAAACTTTGCAAACCCCCTCTTAAATCATGGAAGAAAATGTGTACTTTGGGTACATATCATATCTCCTTGGTTAACCTAGAGACTTCTTGAAATTACTTGCGATTGCTGCTAACTGTGTAATTAGCATCTAGAGAAATCGGAGCAGTACAGGAAGCCATTATTTTGCTGGCTCTTGAAATTTAGTTCAATATCCCTTTCAACTTCTGTTTGGCTGGTTAATGTTCAACTATAGTTCATCTAACCAACTCAAATCTTTTGTTAAGTGATTTAATAATTTTAGAAGTGCATCTCAGAGTAGTAATATTGTTATTTTCATAATTTTTGTTTTTGCAGCCATACTACAAAGTCTGTGATGGATTTTGTGAATAGCAATGAGAACATTATTTTTGTTCACAATACAATTCACCTCATTTCTCAAATGGTGGATAACATCATCATTGCTTGTGGTGGAATTTTGCCTTTGTTATCAGCAGCCACCTCCCCATCTGTAAGTATGAACCATTATCTAATGTTAGTCATCAGAATTGAAATCAATAATGTCTGTACAATAGTGTAAAGTTTTATTTTGCATTTGGCAGATATTCTTACGTTAATTTAATATAACCAAACCAAACAGTCTTATGTTTTATGTAATTCAGTAATTGAAAGTTAATTGTTATTTTAATAAATATCAAGATTTAGTTTTTATGCAGAGGTATAGAGATGACATGGTTACGCAATTAGATTTGGCAGTCAACCACTTTTACTGCATTCCATGTGGTCATTGCAGCATATAATTTTGCTTATTAAGTTTATCATTCTTTCATTAACTATGTATTTTAGAATCTAAAATGTGATGTAACAATAATATTACACTGGTGCAATATAATATATGTAATTTACCCATTAACAAACTCATTACTCAGAACATAAGGGAGATTTTTCATTTTAGATTACACAATAATCGTGCACACAGAAGTGCATAAGCAAGTTCATGCAGTAGACATTGTTAGGGAATTGACAGTCCAGTTAATTCTGAGGTGCTGTCATTTAAATAGTGTATATAAGATGCTCCTGGCATAAGTTAATCTACGGACAGTGCTGAGGCCAAGACATTTTAGTTACTGAGGTCTATAACATAGAAAAAGACTCTTCAATCCATTGAGTATGTGCTGGTCAAAACATAGAACATAGAACATAGAACATTACAGCGCAGTACAGGCCCTTTGGCCCTCGATGTTGCGCCGACCTGTGAAACCAATCTGAAGTCCATCTAACCTAAACTATTCCATTATCATCCATATGTTTATCCAATGACCATTTAAATGCCCTTAAAAGTTGGCGAGTCTACTATTTTTGCAGGCAGGGCATTCCACGCCCTTACTACTCTCTGAGTAAAGAACCTACCTCTGACATCTGTCCTATATCTATCACCCCTCAATTTAAAGCTATGTCCCCTCGTGCTAACCAGCACCATCCGAGGAAAAAGGCTCCCACTGTCCACCCTATCTAATCCTCTGATCACCTTGTATGTCTCTATCAAGTCACCTCTTAACCTTCTTCTCTCTGACGAAAACAGCCTCAAAACCCTCAGCCTTTCCTCATAAGACCTTCCCTCCATACCAGGCAACATCCTGGTAAATCTCCTCTGCACCCTTTCCAATGCTTCCACATCCTTCCTATAATGCGGTGACCAGAACTGTACGCAATACTCCAAGTGCGGCCGCACCAGAGTTTTGTACAGCTGCAACATGACCTCATGGCTCCGAAACTCAATCCCTCTACCAATAAAACCTAACATACTGTACGCCTTCTTAACAACGCTATCAACCTGGGTGGCAATTTCCAGTGATCTATGCACATGGACACCGAGATCTTTCTGCTCATCCACACTACCAAGAATCTTACCATTAGCCCAGTACTCTGTATTCCTGTTACTCCTTCCAAAGTGAATCACCTCACACTTTTCCGCATTAAACTCCATTTGCCACCTCTCAGCCCAGCTCTGCAGCTTATCTATGTCCCTCTGTAACCTACAACATCCTTTCGCACTATCCACAACTCCAACTTTGGCGTCATCCGCAAATTTACTAACCCATCCTTCTACACCCTCATCCAGGTCATTTATAAAAATGACAAACAGCAGTGGCCCCAAAACAGATCCTTGAGGTACACCACTAGTAACTGAACATACTCATCCCACTCCATTCTAATCCCATTTTATCAGCACTTGGCCCGTAGCCTTGTACGCCTTGACATCACAAATATTTCTTAAATGTTATGAGGGTTTCCATCTCTACCACCCCTACAAGCAGTGAGTTCCAGGTTCTCACCAACCTCTGGACGAGGAAATTTTTTCTCACATCTCCTCTAAACATCCTGGCCCTTACCATAATTCTTTGCCTCTGGTTATTGATCCCTCCACAAGGAGAAAAGTTTCTCCCTGTCTACCCTTTTGATGCCCCTCATAATTTTATATATCTCAATCATATCCCTTTTCAGTCTTCTCTGTTCCAAGGAAAACAACCCCAGTCTATCTAATCTATCTCTTTGTGAGTAAAACTCTCCAGTCCAGACAAAGCCCTGGCAAATCTCTTCTGCACCCTCTCTAGTGCAATCGCATCCCTCTTATAGTGTGGATTCCAGGATCACACACAGAATTCTAGTGTGGCCTAACAAATTTCTTATAGAGTTCCAGCATCACTTCCCTGCACTTAAACTCTGTGCCTTGACTAATGAAGACAAGGACATCATATATCTTCTTGACCACTTTATCTATTTTGTGAATGATTTCTGACACAGCAGTAGAAAGAGGCTACTGCTGTTGCTTATAGGAGCACTGGCACTTTTTTTGCTTTGCAGGTACTGGATTTGGATATTAGTTTTGCTGGCATATTAGAGATGTCTGAGGAGAGTGCAAGGGCCCAGAGAGGAGGAAGGATTATTCCTTTTGAGAAAGAGCCATGGAGATAACTTTGCAAGAGGCAAAATTAAGTGAGCTTGCTATTTTTAGTTTGAAGCAGCACCCTCCTCAGAAGGCAACTGCTGTGTTTGTGGGAAAAGGTGCTAGAAAAGGTAAACATAGTTTCTATGGCGAAGAAGTCTTCTGATTCGATGCATAAGAACTTTTAACTAATGAAGAAGTTTTCCAGGGTGGAATGTGCCTGTCTCTGGTGCTAAGGTTTGCTCTAGTATAATGGCTGTATACACTGACACTTCCAACAATTGCATCCCCAAATTGGATGCATTGTGATCCCTTGAGAAGCAGATGTCCTTTCTCAATCAATATTCAGGCACTTTTCAATTTCCAAGCAAATTGTGCAATGGTGTTGCCAAATTTAAATTAATACAACAGTGGGATCATAGTAGTTTCCACTGTATTCACTTATGTACTGCATTTTCTTGAATTTATTTTGGTTAGTAGAATGGCCAGTTTTGCAGCATTAGCAGATCTCATGAAACTATAAGCACTTTATGGATTTGTTGATTGCAGGGAAAGAAACCCCAGAGCAGCACAGAAAGCGCATCTGCTCATGGAAACTCCTTGGCCTCTCCAAGTTGACAATTGAATGTACCCTTTGGAGACAGTTTTGTAGATGTATTTACTATTTGATTTATTATATCTCTTTTAGCTAATTCAGCATTTACTTTTCCCTCAAAATCTTTTTTATTGTGTACATTGAAATAAGGAATGTTTTGAGAATTTCTGCAAAGTTCTGTTTCTTCTTGACTGACTTAAATGTTTCTTTCCTCTTGTGGATCGCACCTCACAGTTAACAATCTCCTGTCATATTTTTCAACTTTCCAACTCTATACATTTTTTTCAGATTACTTCACTGTTCTTTTTAATATTTTGAGATTCTTTTGTTGTGCTCCCCACCTGTGGTTCATTTTGATATAATTATTTATTCATAACTTTATGACAGTTGATGTATCCATTATTTATTCTGTAATTTTGCAAATATAGTGTAAAGTTCATCGTGCCAATTTATTTTTCGACTTAGTTCAGCTTGCTCACTCTTCCTTCTAAAATGCAACCTGATCCACTTTGGTGCTTTTGTTTTTGTACTCAGTCATGGCCTTCATTCTCATGGTTCAGCATATACCCTGCTGCAACATTACCATCAAACTCTGATTCAATAGTTCATTTGGGCATGCCAGTAGCAGCACCAATCATACTTAAAGAATAAGGTGACAACCTGGAGAAGCTGTAATGCAGGACTACTTGAGTGCCAAACAGCATAAACTGCTAATGAATCCATAACCAGTGGATTAATGGAGTGGCTGCAGTTGGAGAAGGGGTGTAGTCATGTGTTCATTTTCTGAAGTTGTTGAACTCAATGTTGAGTCCAAGGCAGCAAATAAAATGTTGTTCCTGTAGTTTGCATTGGCTTCACTGGAACACTGCAGCAGAAGAAGGGAAATGATAGCATGGGAGCAATAGGGTGTATTAAAATAGCAAGCAGCTTGAAGGTCAGCTTGTTCATATGGACAGAATGGAGACATTCTGCAAAGCAGTCTCAAAAACAGAAATTGTTGATGAAACTGAGCAGGTCTAGCAGCATCTGTGGAAAGAAAACAGAGTTAACATTTTGAGTCCAGTTACTTGAGACGAAGAGTCTGATGAAGAGTCACTAGATGAAAACGCTAATTCTGCTTTCTTCCCACAGATGATGCTAGACTTGCCGAGCTTTGCCAGTAATTTATGTTATTGTTTCAGGTCTCCAACACCTGCAAATTTTCTTTTATTTTACTGCAAAACAGTCACCAAGCTTGCACTTGGTATCATCAATGTAGGGAAGATTGTACTGTGAACTGTATTAATCAAGACAAACAGATAGAGCTAACTGCTGACAACAGCAAAACTTCCTCTAACACTTCATGGCAACACAGAAAAATACTTCAAAGAATGCCACAGACAGCATTTCAGATCTGACAGAAGATGCATAGGAACAGAAGAAATCTGCAACCCCAAAGTAGTGGTATTAGCTGTACTGGGAGGCAGTGGTCTGCCGAAGTGGCTGCGAGTATAAGTTGATTTGGTAAGCCAACCAACCTTCTCTGATTTCATGAGTCAAAACCAAAACCCCTTGTACAATAGGAGAAGCATTGACTAGCACAGCAATTCAAACTGACAGCACAATTATTTTCAAAAAGTTGCAACCCAATCAAATATCATTATCATAGGTTGTGAATACCACAAGGCAGGGCTGGAAAAATGAAACATAAGAAAGCTGTAAGAGGGAACTTGTACATTCGAGGAGTGGAGAGTGAGGTAAATTGCTAGCCAAGTCACATAAAGCAAATTAGCATTGGGCAATTTAAAGAAATATGTGCTTTGGTTGAACACACAAGTCTTTCCAGAAATGCTCCAGTGCAACAGTAAAATGCAAGAAAACTTCCACTACAGCTTCAAAGGATGGACACTTCTGTGCAACATCAAGATTCACTGCTGAATAAAAATATTTAAAGAAAATCAAATAACTAATCAAGTTACACACCAGAAGG